CCGCATCAACAGAATGCCAGGGGACACTGGAGAGAACTCTATGTACCTGCCTGAAGGCATCATAGAAGGTTTTCCAAGTGCAGGCACCCTGCAGTGTCCTTACTCAAGAGCTGTCCTAATGATACGTGATATTTGGTTGGCATCTTTTTAAATTGAAGTTACTCGTTGAGGTGATTTCCTTGGACATTAAAAATAATAACCTGTTTCATATAACAGCAATGTACTGTTTGCAAAGTACTTTCCCATGCGCTATCTCAGTCCACATAACAGCCCTGGGAGGTGGACAGGTTTTATTGCTATTGTTTTTCTCCATTGTGGCTGAGCTGTGAAGGCTTACAGGGGCAAAGTCACTGTGTCAGAGTCTCTGAGGGGGCATGGTGGGTTGGGGCTTGAGTCGGGGTCTTGCTAGTCCCTGCTTGGTGCCTTGGCCACCACACCTTCCCTGTGTTTCCTTTGAGTACTTCGGACCCCTCATCTTAGAGCAGCCATTTGGACCATTTCCTCCTGCAGATGCATTGCACACAGGCTTGCTCATATCAAAGCTTATTTGCCACCTTTATCTTCAGTCACTTGAAATGCTTTCTGTTCATAGAGAAGCTTTATGAAGAAAATCATTCACAAAGGACAGAAATGTGAATTGTGCTTTCATCAGCGTTAAGTATGAAATTTCATTTTGCAAAATCCCCAGGGGGACTTGAACTTTCTCTTTGGACCATTAGAAGAGGGACCGGAACATCAATTCCTTAAACACAGATTTGCTCAAAGAACATTTAACAGCTTCAGTTCTGGTTTGAATGTGACCATTTTGCGAGTTTGTTTTTAGTTCTCTTCTGGTCAAGAGGGAAAAGATTTCGGGTCCACCCAGGTCTATACTCTGGGGTAGGAACTTTTTTTGTGACAAAGATGGTAGCATGTAAGGTAGGTCAGTTGCATGATTCATGTGTAACTAGTAAGTAAGACTATAATGATCTTCAAAAAGGCATCTGTGGTGCTTAAGTGCGTGGGCCTTGGAATTGGGCAGACCTGGATTTGATCCTGCCTCTGTCCTTACTATCATACCTCTGTGACCTTGGGAAAGTTATTTACTCTCCTAATGCTTGGTGCCCTCATTTCTGAATAGGGTTAATAGTAGCACCTATATCATAACCTTTATCACAGGTTTAATAGTAGCACCTTTATTGTGTTTTGTGGATTAAATAAGGTAATACATGTAAAGTGTTTAACCCATAGACATAGGAGTAAGCATTATCAAATGCTAATGTAGTGATGATGATGATGACGTGCATTTGAGTGGCTGCTGTTTGTGAGTTCATTCATTCATGAAACATTACTGCAGGCATTGCTAACACTGGTATCTGAGAACAACTAGGGGCATGGGGAGCCTTTGAATCTCCTAAGCGCATGTGGAAGATTTTGTGCATGTGTGTGCTTTTCTGGCAAGAATCTCAAAGGAATGTATGACCCCAGAAAGGTTAAAAACAAAGCCTACAGTGTGCTGAAGACTTGGTATTAGGGCTACACTGATGATCCTGGGACTCTCCTTGTACTTAAAGAGTTTGCAAAGTGGCCAGGCTGACAGATGAATAAAGATGTTATAGAATGGCCTGTGATGGGTCTAGCAACAGATGCCACAGACAAAGAGAGCTGAGGGTTCATCATGGAGGTGAGAGTGGATGGGCAAGCCCAGCCAGAAGATCCCAGGTGGAAGGATGAATGAAGAAACCCAGGCCACCAAACAATCAAGTGCTGTGTCCTTAAAGGATTGAAAGTAGTCACAGTGACAGTGCAAGTGCCCAAGAAGTAAGTGGCCCAACTTGAGGTGGACAGGCTGGCAGAGGGGAGTCTGTGACTACCATTTTGCATTTCCACCAGAAAGGAATGAGAGTTCCTGTTGCTCAATGTCCTTGCCAACATTTGGTGTGATCAGTGTTTTGGACTTTGGCCATTCTAATAGGTGTCTGGTGGTAACTCATTGTTATTTTATATACTGTTTGGTTACCGTAGCTTTGTTACAAGTTTTGACATCAGGAAATGTGAGACCTCCAGGCTGGACACAGTGGCTCATGCCTTTAATCCCAGTACTTTGGGAGGCTGAGGTAGGTGGATCACCTGAGGTGTCAGGAGTTCAAGATCAGCATGGCCGACATGGCAAAACCCAGCCTCTACTAAAAACACAAAAATTAGCCAGGTGTGCTGACAAGTGCCTGTAATCCCAACCACTTGGGAGGCTGAGGTGGAAGAATCGCTTGAGTCCGGGAGGCAGAGGTTGTAGTAGGAGCTGCGATTGTACCACTGCACTCCAGCCTGGAATAAGACTCTGTTTAAAAAAAAAAAAAAAAAAAAAAAAAAGTGTGGGACCTCCACCTGGTTGTTTTTTTTTTTTTTTTTTTTTTTTTTCCAAGATTGTTTTGGCAATTTGGGGTCCCTTGTAATTCCATATGAATTTTAGGATGAGTTTTTTTTAATTCTGAAAAAAATTTATTGGGATTTTGGTAGAGACTGCATTGCATCTGTAGATCATTTTGGGTCATATTGACATCTTGACAATATTAACTCTTCCAGTCTATGAGCATAGGATATCTTCTTGTGTATTTGTATTAATATGTTCTTTAATTTCTTTTACAAATACTTTATAATTTTCAGTGTATAAATCTTTCACCTCTTTGGTCGATTCATAAGTATTTTATTCTTTCTGAGGCTATTATAAATGGGATTTTAAAAAAAATCCTTTTTGGATTGTTCATCATTCTGTATAGAAACACAATTGATTTTTATGTGTTGATTTTATATCCTGCAACTTTGCTGAATTTGTTTATTACTTTTAATATTTTCTGTGAAATCATTAGAGTTTTCTACATATGGGATTATGTCATCTACAAACAGATAATTTTGCTTCTTGTTTTCAAATGTGGATACCTTTTATTTCTTTCTCTTGCCTATTCTGGCTAGAATTGTTGATACTATGTTGATGTTGAATAGAAGTGGTGAAAGTGGCCAACTTTGTCTTATTCCTTATCATGGAGGAAACATTTTTAGTATTTTACCATTGAGTATGATGTGAGCTGTGTAAGCAGACAGTTTTTTTTAAAAGGAGCTTAAAAAGAGGTAGGATTGTGAATCCCGGGACTTATTTCAAATTATGTCCTCCATATATCTAGCACCTAGCACAGTGTCTGGCATGTAGTAATTAGTGAGTGAATGGATATGTTTTTAAAAATGGTAGTTTCTCAAAACTGAATGAGCCAAAGTGCTTCTAAATGGAGGGGCAATCTGGTATTTGTGAGGATGGGAAGGAATGGAGAGCAATGAAAAGGGAGATAAGAGTCATCGGTTGCCCACTGACGACAGGGTGTTGGTTCTTCATTGTGGGCAACAAAGTCACTTTACCCTTTGCTCGGATAGCCTGCTTAATTCTGGTTATTTTCTCCCTCTCTGTATCAGTACTTTACAACTAGAAGAAAATAACGTATGTTGCATCTCTTTGTATTTATGACTACTGAATTAATAACTTACTGCCCATTGCATAAAGGGAAAATGAGCAAAATGCTATAAATTATAGATGGAAGTTGTTAATGTGAGTAGAGTGTACAACGTATGCCTCACTGTGCACAGCTTTGAACTAATGTGACTGATTTAAGGGACTTGAGTCTGGCTTCATTTTAATGTGGAATGGATGGACAGCATTGAGTCACCACCGTTTCATTAGTAAGGCTGTGTTCTCCCATGGGACCTTGGCCCCTCAACTGCAAGTAGATAAAAATTCTTGTTACCTATATATAGTCTTAGAATGGGAAAATCAAAAGATTTTTATTTAATGTGTCAGCATTTCTATTCGTGTGCACTTTTAACAAGCAAATTCTGAATATGAACTAACATGGCCTCTCTTTTCTCCTTTAACAAGGTCATCCATCTGAGTTACAGATTTAAAAAATATGTTCATTAAATGCAGAGATTGTTGATAACTTTGAGAAGCAGCAGGATGTAGTGGAAAGAACAGGCCCTTTTGTCTCAGTGAGAGATTTCCTGGCTGCAAATAATTGAAACTCTATAGCTTGTGCCAAACAGGATTTTAGAAGACCAAAAAGGTGTTCTCAGGATACAAGGCTATCTTACAGGCTCATGCGGGTCTGAGGCCACTCAGTCTAAGTTTCTAGGGCAACGTGGTCTCATCTCTGCTTTCCCTCCCGCACCTGCTCCTTTCTTGTCTCTCAGCAGACTGGCTGTCTCTGCCTCGTGCACACAGCCAAGCACAGCTGCCTGGCTCTGGCTTTTTATCCCTGCCAGTTCAAGGGCCAGCAGAGGTTGTCTGGCATCTCTGATTTCCAGATTCCTGGAAGAGAGAATCTGGTTATCTCATCTTGAGTCAGATGACCATGGCTGATTTGTTCATTTATTAATTCAGGAAGTCTTTATGAGTTTCAGGAACCGTTATAGGCACTGGGATTCATCTTATCCACATGGAGCATGTGTGTGTGTGTGTGTGTGAGAGAGAGAGAGAATCTGCATGGAGCATGTGTGTGTGTCTGTGCAGGGGCCGGGGGGAGGACTCTGAAAGCTTATTCTTTGGGCTTGGTTGAGGGTTGTAATTTTCAGAGGAAAGGATATATGGGCTTGGAATTTGGATAGACCTGGACTTAGATCCTGATTCCTCCCCTTACAGCTGTGTGTGATCCTTGGGCATGTTCAGTTACCTCTGTCAGCTCCAAGTTTTGAATCAGCAAAATGGGAGTAGTCCTTTATAGGGTAGTTATAAGGATTAAGGTGAAGTGGTATCTGCAACATGTAATCAGAGCTCTGCCACTTGGAGCAAGTTATTAAACCTGTCTGAATCTGTTTCCTCATCTCTAAAATGGGAAAGAATATTTGGCTACCTCACATGCGTATTATAAGGATTAAACCATGGCAAGTACACCAGGGTGCCAGGAATTTGTACATAATGGATACTCAGCATGATCGCTGCTTTCTTACTCTTATCATGAGTCATATTTTTTCTTTTCTAGTTCCCATTTGGCCGACGCTTGCCTTGTGACATCTACTGGCATGGAGTTTCATTTCATGACAATGACATATTCTCCGGTCAAGTGAACAAGTTTCCAGGTATCTGCTATTATTGTCGACATTTAAAAATGTTTCTAGGGCCAAGTCCCAGGTACACTCTTCTACAAAAACATGACAGTTATTTTTGAGACCAAACTTGAGGACTCTTAATTAGGAATTTCTGTGTTCCTTAGCCACTAAGGATTTAAGGATTGGAGACAGGCTTTTAAAGAATCAAAGACAGCCTTTCTTGGTCTAAAGTCCACTGGTGGAAGAACATGGTTTTCACTTTTTGGCTTATACATATAATATGGGGTTCTAATGAGAGGACTATATTCTGAAAAAAAAAAATAGAACATTTAACTCTTGCAGGAAATAAAAGTACCAGAATTCTAGGAATATGTCATAGAAATGGGGTATCAGCTTCCCTTTACTTTAAGTATTATATTTTCAGGTACCATTTTTAAAACCAAATATATCAGTCTCCATACTAAGTACTATAGGCTGCAGGTAGCCTCTGCATTTTGCCTAATGACATCATTCTCAGCAAGACTTACCCTATAAGGAGAAATCTTAGTGCCAGAAAAGCATCATAGCCAGCACTAAGATATCCCCCTCACTCCACTACCAACCTCCCAATACAACCTTTTTGTTTTGCATTTTAATCTCTACCACTTTTTTGAGACAGAGTCTTGCTCTGTCACCCAAGCTGGAGAGCAGCAGTGCAATCTTGGCTCACTGCAACCTCTGCCTCCCAGGTTCAAGCAATTCTTCTGCCTCAGCCTCCCGAGTAGCTGAGATTACAGCCCTGTACCACCACACCTGGCTAATTTTGTATTTTTAGTAGAGACAGGGTTTCACCTTGTCATGTTGGCCAGGCTGGTCCCGAACTCCTGACCTCAAGTGATCCACCTGTCTCAGCCTCCCAAAGTGCTGGGATTACAAGTGTGAGCCACTGTGCCCAGTGTCTTCATTATTTTTGATGGCTGAATGAAGAGGATATTTGAGATGGTAGGACAGCTTAGGGAGACGGAGCATTGGATTAAGCTGGGTATGGTACAGTCAGAGGGTCTTCCACTTGTTTTTTAAAATGTTAATATATTACACAGACCATATTACAATGCCATAATAAATAATTTTTAAGAAGAACATCACCCTGAATCCCATTCCTCATTTAACAAAACAGCAATGGGAATATTTCCGTATTTCCTTCCAATGTTGACTCATCCTTTTTGCATGGTTGCAGTCATAGCGTAGTTGCCTAAATATAAGGTGTTTTCTCTTAGCATTTTATCAGTTTTACCTATTTTAAAGAGAGAACCAGTTTACTCTTTTTCCTTGACCTTCTATCCCATGCCTTTAAGGAAATGTTGCAGAAAACCCAATAGCCATACGTTATACACTGGTTAGTAGTTATGCCACATCCACTAGGGGTTTCCACCTAAGCATGCAGTCTTACAAGGCCACTACTATAGGCCACACTTGGCTCAGATTCACTTAGAAGGATATAGGGGAGGAAACAGCTTGCTGGCCAGTCAGTGTCAAGCATTTCTCTTCAGTGGAGTATTTGCGAGAGTCCCAGGGACTAGTCTCTGGCACCTCAAGTGAAAGCTCAGGTGCAAAAGGACAAGATTCTCATTGGTGGAAGTGAGTCTTTCTTGGTTTAGATGCCCCACAGGAGTCAGTATCTCTTAGAACTGCTCCATGGTATTGCTTCTAAGGTCCCAGCAAGGGTCATATTAAGTTACAAGAACCATCTCACTCAGAAAAGCCTAGAGCTATGGCTTCCTACTAGATACTTACGCAATTTACCAATCAGGGATCATTTTAACCAGATGCCTAGTAATTCAGCTAACATTCTACCTTCATTGTTTTCTAGGGGAACAGAGATAGAAAGTTAACCCAAGGTCAAATTTATCCTTAGAGAAGGAGAAAGGGTTTTGTTTCAGAACAAGAATGATTCTTGCAGCCAGAATTCCTGCACAACAGTTTAATGAGACAGCTGTTATTTTCTGTGTCTTGCTGTTCAGAAAAGGATGCTTTCTGATGCTGCTTAAAGGACTTATTAGGATATTGGGAGGATACAATTTGGAAGAGAAAACACTTTGAATGAGGACAGAGTTTCTGAGACATGAATCATCAAATGAGGCTTCATTTACATGTTCCCCATTTGCTCATGCCTCGTCTAGTGGCTGAGAGTAGGAAAGAAGTAGCTAGAGATCTCCATTTGGAATACAAATTAGAAATATAGAAGAATGAAGTACCCCCAAAGGATGAGTTTCATTACAGGTGATAAAAGGATCTTTATTCCAAAGAAGCAGGTTTGCCCATCTCATATTCCACATGCCAGTGATTGGTACATAGACTTTTCCACTTTACTAACAGAAATTAGTTCTAATGACAAAGCAGGCTCCTGAACCTCTAGGCAGAGGAACAGTGTTGCCTCACCCTCAGCCCCATGAATGGTAGTAATCCTCAGCAGAGGGGTGATTCTAGAACAGTCTGTCCTCTGACACCAGTTTGTGTCCAAGCTTATCTTCTGTCTCTCATATATCCCGTTATTCTAAAATGCATTTCCTGTGCATTGTATATTACTTAGGGTAAGTTCTAGTGGATATCCCAGGCAAGTATAAACACTTTATTTGCTGAATAAACTGAAAATGTTTGGATACACACATATGGAAGTGATTAATTTTGTTTGTGTCAGCACACTAGATTTTAGTAACTTTTCTATGGGCAATTTCCTGGTTCAAAATACATTATTATGGGCTGGGCATGGTGGCTCATAACTAATCCCAGCACTTTGGGAGGCCGAGGCAGCTGATCACAAGGTTAGGAGATCAAGACCATCTGGCCAACATGGTGAAACCCTGTCTCTTCTAAAATACAAAAAATTAGCCGGGCATGGTGGCATGCATCTATAGTCCCAACTACTTGGGAGGCTGAGGCAGGGGACTCACTTGAACCTGGGAGGCGGAGGTTATAGTGAGCTGAGATCGCACCACTGCACTCCAGCCTGGTGACAGAGCAAGACTCCATTTCAAAAAGAAAACCACATTATTATATTTTAGCTGATGAATTAAGACTTTTCTACTTCAGAAAGTAGGCATATTTAATATCTACTTTCTTTAGACATCTCTAAATCAGACGTATCAGATTAGACATAGCAGATTTAGCTTTAAGAAAGTCCAAAACTCTCCATTCTCAGCTTCCGAGCTGGTCTTTTGCTGAGTTTCAGGGTCTGAGATGTATGGGATCATGTGGCAGGTGGTACCTGAGAGCCCACCTGAGGAGGGGCTTTCTGCTGGAGAGGGAGGGAGCTTCAGTGAGGAACCTGTGGGGACAGCCATCTGTCAAGCATTGGTCAAAGATGGAGAAATGCATGTGATGAGAGAAGAAAAACACAGCCAAAGGGCTATGCTGGAGGAAGCTGGAATGCTGTGGGGGTCTGGAGCAAGGGCAGGTAACCAAATCCAGATTTGCCCAGGGAGCAGCAGGGTGAGAGAGCCTAGAGAAGAGGACTGGCATGGAAACTGAGCCTCCAGGGTGGATGGGCCCGATCCCCATGCCAAACAAGGGAGCAGAGTTGGTGCAAAGACAGAATGCCTTGAGCACATTGCTCATTCAGCAAAGGGCAAGTGGGCTACCATGGTTAGAGGGCGTCAGGTGAGTGGGGCAGGGGTGGGGTGATGAGCAGGAACCCAAGTACAGCACTGTTAGAGCCTGAAGGTCATGGGGAGCCACTGAGGATTTTTTAATTTAATTTAATTTTTTTTTGAGACAGTCTCGCTCTGTCACCAGGCTGGAGTGCAGTGGTGTGATCTCGGCTCATTGCAACATCTGCCTCCCAGGTTCAAGCAATTCTCTTGCCTCAGCCTCCTGAGTAGCTGGAACTACAGGCGCATGCCACCATGCCCAGTTAACTTTTGGATTTTTAGTAGAGATGGGGTTTCACCATGTTGGCCAGGATGGTCTCGATCTCTTGATCTTGTGATCCGCCTGCCTCAGCCTCCCAAAGTGCTGCGATTACAGGTATGAGCCACTGCGCCTGGCCACCACTGAGGAATTTTTAAGCTAGACGGTGACGTGGGCCAGCTTGCATGTTAGCACGATCAGCCAGAGGGACAATTAGAAACGGGTAAGACATCTGAGAGAAGAAACAGATGTAGCTAAGAGGCTGCTGCAGCATCTACCTAAGAGATAAATGGATCAGTGGCAACGGGAATAGAGAGAAAAGGATGGATCAGAAAGTATTTATTTGTTGTTTGGTGGTTGTAATGTGTTTTTGCCAAGAATTATTCTTACAAGTAATATTTTGATTAAATAGTGCTCCAAGTATAGCTCAGTTTTGTTTTGCTTTGTTTTATGTTAATTGGGCTAAGTAGGGCTGCATGGGCAGGCCTGAGATTGAACTGTTATGCTCTCGGTTAACTTGAATTGGGTGAGACTCACCAGGCCTTGAGACTTCAGCATAGCAAACAGAAGCACCCAGTCCTCAGAAGGAGGGCAGGAGGCAAGCTCTTGGTGTCAGAAGCTCCCACCTGAATTAGGAGGTTTTCCCAATTGATAGGGGAACTGCCCCTATAGGGACATCTAGGGATAGACTTTATTGAGAAGCCGAGGTGGGCAGTCAACCTCAAAAGGAGCTGTTAGGTGGCAGAACCCCAGACACTGGGCTAAAGCCACAGACAGGAGGACTCCAGCCCTTGCAGGGTGGGCTTGAAAGGAACAGAGGAGAGGCTGGGGAGAGGAGGAACATTGCAGAGAACAAGGAAGAGGCCTCAGCTCTGCATTGCTAAAGCAACCACTCAGGCACAAGGAACAAAAGATAAGGTCACCAACATTTGGTGACAATTTGCTTTGGATAAGCAATAGAGCATGGGAAAAATGGGTAAAATCCTTCTTATCTGATTGGAATATGAACTCTAGGTGAGACTTTTAGCAGAAGGGAGCTGAGGGTTGTATCTTCTATCTCAGATCAGAATTGGTCATAGAGCCCAGGGAGGGGACACAGGTGATAAGGGGTCAGGTGCTGCAGCTGCTTAGGGAAAGGGGATGGGGTCTGAAGTCAGCAGAGCTGGCCACAACCTCCCTTCTCACAGATTTATCTGGGAACGTGTACCCTGGATCAGCTAGAAACCCTGCTCCCCTGACACCTGTCTCTGAGCCACCTCCAGAGGTGGAGATGCCAGCAGCTTCCATGTGGGTTCTAGTGAGGGCCCAGAAACTCTTTCCCTGGTGGCACTGGATAGGAGCACAGCTTAGATATGGAGGAGCGAAGTGGATTGAGAGAGGTCTACACCCATGCCACCTAGAGACAGGCATTCAGGCAGAGTTGGGGTGAGCTGCCTATGGCCTGTAGGCAGGAAGTGCCTGGCTTCCAGGGGTGCTTCTTAAGTTGGCTATATTCAGTAGAAAGTTGTCTGGAAATGAACAGGTAAACTTGGAAGCACCTATTAGCTGGCATGGGGCCTGATGATGCACATTACAGAAGGAGCCATTGCCAATATTAAATGAATATTGATTCAGTTTGCTGGACATAGATTTTCACAAAACTATTCTGGAGCATCCAGACTGCCCTCATGTACTCACAGCTCTCTGGGTTGTGTGAGCCTATCTGACCTGCTGAGGGATTTCGGAAAGAGAACCTTCCCCCCACCCAACGACCTTAAAGTGCAGCAAATACCTTAATGCTATTTGGTCAACAGGGATCCTCTATGTGGAGCAAGGTGCTGTATTACAGTTAGTTATGAAGGCTTTCAGTTCAATATGGTAACTAAAATGTTAGCCCACCTCAAGCAAAAGGATTCCAAAAAAGTTGAAATTTTGTTTCGTTTACTTTGTGGTCAGCTCTAGTGTTTATAATGCAATTCTAATTTTGTAAAGGAATGAAAGGAAATAGCTGTGATTTTCCAGACACCCTTCTTGGGAAGCCCAGAACAGTGTCCTCAGTGAGTTGTCTTTACTATTGAACAGTCCATGTTAGAGCACAGTTTATTAGTGCCTTTAAGCACCTTTATTTCTTACTTAATCCTTCCCTAGATCCTTCCAATCAATAACTAACACCTGGGCATTAACATCTTGAAGCTGGGATCTTTAGATTTATTGCACTTTTTAATATGCTGACAGAAGAAGAAGTTGATTCTTAAAACTTTCCTTCTCAGATATTTACCCTTTGCTGTCTGAACGTGGGAGTTTAGAGGAACCTCATTCATTCTGATTGCCCATTTGGAATATGTGATAATTTGGGCATGCCAAGCTGACATGAAACTTTGTATTTTCTATTAAAAATAGCTTTGCTAAGCACATTTCTAGTGTCAGTAATGGAACTGTTTGGTCTCTTTCAGGGTAAAGGCCATTTTTAGCCTCCATTTTTAGCAGTGATATTTGCCTTAAGAAATAAACATGATGGCCAGGCGCAGTGGCTCATGTCTATAACCCCAGCGCTTTGGGAGGCTGAGGCAGGTGGATCACCTGAGGTCAGGAGTTTCAGACCAGCCTGGCCAACATGATGAAACCCCTTGTCTACTAAAAATACAAAAATTTGCTGGGCATGGTGGTGTGTGCCTGTAATCCCAGCTACTGGGGAGGCCGAGGCAAGAGAATTGCTTGAACTCGGGAGGTGGAGATTGCAGTGAGCTGAGATCACACCATTGCACTCCAGCCTAGGCAACAAGAGTAAAACTCTACCTAAAAAAAAAAAAAAAAAAAGAAAAAAAAGAAAGAAGGCTGATGCTAGGCACAGTGGCTTCCACCTGTAATCCCAGCACTTTGGGAGGCCAAGGTGGGTGGATGGCATGAGCCTAGAAGTTTGAGATCAGCCTAGGCAATAGTGAGACCCTGTCTCTAAAAAACAAAAAACAATATAAAAATTAGCCAGCTACTCAGGAGGCTGAGGTGGGAGGATCACTTGAGCCTGGGAGACAAAAGTTGCAGTGAGCTGAGATTATGCCACTGCACTCTAGCCTGTACAGCAGAGCAAGACTCTGTTTCAGAAAAAGAAAGAAAGAAATAAGCATGCTAAAATTGATAATAATTTTTACCTATTTGCTTAAAATTTGCTACAATATGTAATACTCAGTTTCTTCTCTTGTCAGAGTTACTAATGATGTTACAAGAAAAAAATCTACCATTCTTTTAATGTTTTATAACAGTGAGACATTTCAATTCCCTCTGGGCAAATTAATGAGATAGGATCAATGTCAGTGTCAGTCCTTATAACTGAGGAACTCCTACAGATTGCATTTTTCACTTTGAAGTATAAATGATGGTATTCTTTTTATTTCCTGTCCTTCATTCAAGGAGACAGATTTTATACTGAAAGATGTGCATTTTTTTGTTGTTTCATGCCTTTAATACTCATGAAACAGTAAAAGAAAGAAACTTAATTAAGCCTCTCATAATGTAACCAGAGTCCACTAGATAATATTCTCTAGGGTACAAGATGGAAGGAATCCCAGAAGCATGTGTGGTGGTCCGAAATTAAAGAAGGTATTAAATTTTAAGTGCAAGATATAAATGCTTCCCTATTCATTACCTAAGGGGATGACAAAGAATAGAATAATAAACTAGGTGAAAATGCATTCTTTCAAACTGATGCTTCATTTTTATAAAGAGAAAAGAACACCCGTCTATTACCTCAAGTTTTTCATTAACTCAGTAGTTCTTTCCAAACCATGAGTCACCGCTGTGGGAAACAACTCAGACTTTTAAAAAAAATTCTGCCTGAAAAAGAGAATATGTCGGGTGGGTGGTTTTAAAAGTCCCAAATAATGGCTGTTTTATAGCTAGTAGCCCACTGTTGTTAAAACCTCACAGCATCTCTTCTCCCCAGGCATGACGGAGATGGTGCGTAAAATTACTCTGAGCAGAGCAGTGAGAACCATGCAGAATCTCTTTCCTGAGGAGTACAACTTCTACCCTCGCTCATGGATTCTGCCTGACGAGTTCCAGCTCTTTGTTGCTCAGGTAGATGGCACTCCGTCCCCATGACCCCTCAATTATATTGTGGTTGCAACTGTGTCCTGGGTCCTGTGTGCTGGGAGCTGGGGCAGGGGGTCCTAGCAAGCTCAGACTGACTAAGGAAGCGTCTTAACAGTGCACAGTAGGGGTTGGCAGCTATCAAAACAACTTGCAGTGTTGAACGAGTAGGGTTAACAGGTAGGTAAACTGAAGAAACAGGTCTTGACACAGGAGACAGGCCTGAGGCTGGTATCAGAGCTGTATCATGGCGTCAGGATGCTGGGGAGCCAGGGAGCTGGGGCCAGAGCAGGTGGCTGGGCAGTGGAATGGGGACACTGAGGGATCCTAGAGCCGTGGCCTTCCTGGCTTCCTGTGGTCTGAGACGTGCAAGGTCAGGCTTTGTTTAAAGGCCAGGGAGCAGGTCTGACAAACTCATGGGGAACCCTGTAAGTGTTTTGCTTTAAACTTGTTACAGAATCAATTGTCAAGTGACAAATTCCATCCTGAAGCAGTACATTTGAGCATGTAATACACCGGAGTCTTCACCACTGATTATGAAGTGGAACCAGTAGGGAAGTGGAACTCAGAATTGCCATTTTTTGTTAGCCTTTTAACAATTTCATTTAGGTCCCTTTCAAAGCCCTTGTGTACAAGTTCGCAGTCCATTCCATAACTGGGGTACCTGTACAACCAGTGCCTGTCTAAGTGTGATAAGGCTAACACCATTTACTGGTCCTGCTATGTTCCAGGCTTTGTGCTAGAAGTTTAATATATTTTATTTTATTTTTATTTTTTGGAGATGGAGTTTTGCTCTGTTGCCCAGGCTAGAGTGCCGTGGTGTGATCTTGGCTTACCGCAGCCTCTGTCTCCTGGGTTTAAGCGATTCTCCTGCCTCAGCCTTCTGAGTAGCTGAGACTACAGATGCACACCACCACACCCAGCTAATTTTTGTTTTGTTTTGTTTTGTATTTTCAGTAGAGACAGGGGTTTCACCATGTTGGCCAGGCTGGTCTCCAACTCCTGATCTCAAGTGATCCACCCACCTTGGCCTCCCAAAGTGCTGGGATTACAGGCATGAGCCACCACACCCAGCCCACATTATTTCTTTTAATCTTCACAGCAATCTTGTGAGGTTGGTTTTATTATTATCATCCCCATTTTATGGGTGAGGAAACTGAGGCTTTGAAAAATTAGGCAACTTGCTTGAGAAGTAAGTTTTAAAACCTAGAGCTATTTCCAAGGCCTGTGCTTTCTATAGTCTATCTTACTGCCTCTGTATTGCTTTGGTTTTAATATTGAATTATAAAACTTGTAATAAAATTATCATTTACTAAACACAAAAACAGCTGAAGTGATAATTTTTTAAAAGAAGTTTTCTGTGAGATGGTGGTCACATGGGTTTATATATATTGCTTAAAATTCATCAAACTATTAACTTAAAATGGGTGCATTTTATTGTATGCAAACTATGTTTCAATAAAGTTGATTTTAAAAGGTAACTCTCAGCTGTTCCTCCATAATTAGCCCCCAATGTCTCTGTTCTGTGGCTCTGCCCATGCTGTTGTTGTTATGTGGAGTACCTTTCCTTCCCATCTCTACAGCTCTGCATCCAACCACAGTCATGAGTCACTAGACAGGCATACATTCTGAGAAAAGTGTCGCTGGGTGATTTCATCGTGTCAGCACCATAGAGTGTACTTACACAGACCTAGACAGTGTAGGCTCTTACACACCTAGGCTATACAGTATAGCCTGTTGCTCCTAGGTTACAAACCTGAATAACATGGTACTGGGCTTAATGCTGGTAAGTCTTTTTTGTATCTAAACATAGAAAGGGGAAAATACTGTATAAAAGATAAAAAATGGTACACCTGTGTAGGACACTTACCATGAATGGAGTTTACATGACTAGAAGTTGCTCTTGGTGAGTCTGTGAGTGGGTGGTGAGGGAATGTGAGGGCCCAGGACATTAGACTACTGTAGACTTCAGAAATACCGGACACTTAAGCTGCACTCAATTTATTTTTTAAAAAATTTATTCGATAAGAAATTAACCTTAGCTTACTGTAACTTTTACTTTCTAAACTTTTTAATTTTAAAAAACTTTTTGACTCTTTTGTAATAACACTTAGCTTAAAACACAAACGTACTGTATGGATATACAAAAAATATTTTATTTCTCTGTATTCTTATTCTGTAAGCCTTTTTCTATGTTTACATTTTAAAATTATTTTTCCTTTTACAATTTTTTTGTTAAAAAACCAAGGCACAAACACATACATTCGCCTAGGCCTACGCAGGGTCAGGATCATCAATATCACTGTCTTCCACCTCCACATCTCATCCCAATGGAAGGTCTTCAGGGGGCAGTAACATGCATGGAGCTGTCACCTCCTGTGGTAACAGTGCTTTCTCCTGAAGAACCTGCCTGAGGCTCTTCTACAGTTCACTTTTTTTTTTTTTTAGAAGTAGAAGGAGTACACTCTAAAAAAACGATAAAATGTCTACTATAGTAAATACATAAACCAGTAACATGGTAGTTTTTTGTCATTGTCAAGGATTATGTACTGTGCATAACTGTATTGCTCTACTGCACTTTTACACAACTGGCAACGCAGTGGATTTGTTTACACCTGCAACACCATGAACACATGAGTCATGCGCCGTACTACAAATCTGAGATCACCGATTTTTAAATCTTAAATTTCCTTCTAGGCACTGCTACGGATCCTCCTCAGGAACTTTTGTATATTACATTTTCATTATAATTCCGTTGAAAATGTTCTCTAATTTTCCCTGGGATTTCTCCTCTGCCCATGGATTATGTAGAAATGTGTTGTTTACTTTCTAAGTAATTTTGGGATTTTCCAAATATTTTCTATTATTGATTTCTAATTTAATTTTGTTGACATCAGAGAGTATATTCTGTATTATCTCAGTTTTTTTTGAATTTATTGAGAATTTTCTTATGGCTTATATATTGTTCATCTTGGGCACTTGGAAATAGTAAGTATTCTGGAGTTGTTGATGTAGTATCTTCTAAGTGTCAAGTAGGTCAAGTTGGTATTGGTGGTATTCACATCATTTTTACTAGTTTACTACCTGCTTGTTCTGTCAGTTACTGAGTTAGTGTTGAAAATTTCCAGCTTTAATTTTGGATTGTCTGCTTCTCCTTTTAGTTCTGTCACTGTTTTCGTTATGTATTTTGAAGCTCTGTATTAGCTTGATTATTTGACTCCTTTATAAGTAACTTGTCCGGAAGTCATTTTGTCTGATATTAATTTAGCCCATCCAGTTTTTTTTTGTCTTAGTATTTGCATGGTATATCTCTTATCATTATTTTACTTTTAACCTATCTGCATTTTTAAAGAGTGCTTCTTGTTGACAGCATGTAATTGGGTGTGGTTTTTTATTCAGTTTGACAGTCTCTGCCTTTTAATTTATGTGTTTAGTCTAGTTAATCTTAATATATAATATTAACTGTTGGATTCAAGTCTACCACCTTACTATTTCTTTTCTATTTATTCTGTTGGATTAATTGAATATTTTTAGTGTTTTATTTGATCTCTTCTTTAGGCTTATTAGCTATACTTCTTTTAAAAATGTTTTTAGTTTTTGTCCTAGCCCTAGTAGCTAGGGTTTACAGTGCATCTTTAACTTACCACATTTGCCTTTAAGTATTACATACTTCAAGAAAAATATTAGCACCTTACAACAGTATCGTTCCATTCCCGCCCTCATCCTTTATGCTATTCTCACCTGTTTTGCTTCTAACGATGTTATAAACCACACAATACATCGTTATTATTTTTGCTCTGAAAAGTCAATTATCCTATAAAGAAACTAAAAAATGAGTACATTTGTCTTTTATACTCACCCATGTATTTACTATTTCCAGCATTCTTCATTCCTTTGAATGGCTCTGGGATTCCATTTGGTATTATTTTCCTTTGGCCTCAAGAATTTGCTTTAACACATTTCTTACAGTGCAGGTCTGCTAAATTCCCTCAGCTTTTATTTGTCTGAAAATGTCTTTATTTTGCCTTCAGTTTTTAAGCTGCTTTGAAACAATTTAAAACTTAACAAAAAAGTTGCGAAAATAGGACAGAGAGAGCACCCCTAGATTCTTCATCTAGCTTCCTCTAATGTTAACATCTTATACAATGACTGAAACTTGGAAATTAATACTGATAGAATATTATGAAATAATCTACACTGTTTAGTTGCATTTTGCCTGTTGTCTTACCCATGCCCTTGTGGTACAGAATTCACTCCATGATCCCTCACTGCATTTGGTTGTCATGTCTCCCTTGTCTTCTCAAGATTGTAACAGTTCCCCGATCTGTCTTTGTCTTTTGTGACCTTGACTCTTTTGAAGAGTACTGGTGATATATAGTTTGGATCTGTGTCCCCACCCAAATCTCATGTTGAATTGTAATTCCCCAGTGTTGAAGGTGGGGCCTGGTGGGAGGTGACTGCATCATGGGGACAGATTTCTCCCTTTGGTGCTGCATAGTGATAGAGTTCTCATGAGATCTGGTTGTTTAAAAGTGTGTAGCACTTCCCTCCTCTCTCTCTTGTTCCTGCTCCAGCTAGGAGAGAAAGTAAGAAGTGCCTGTTTTCCCTTTGCTTTCTGTCGTCATTGAGCATTTCCCAAGGCCTCCCCAGAAGCTAAGGAGGTGCCAGCATTATGCTTCCTGTATAGCCTGTGGAACCATGAACCAATTAAACCTCTTTTCTTTATAAATTACCCCAGTCTCAAGTATTTCTTTATAGCAGTGCTAGAACTGTCTAATACAACTAGCTAGTCTAATACAGCAGTCTAATACAACTGGTTAGTTATCTTTTTTTTTCTTTTTAGAATGAACTTACATTTGGATTTGTCTGGTTTTTCTCATGTTAGATTCAGATTAGACAATTTTGGCAAGAATACCATGAAAGTGATGTTGTTAGGTACATGATGTCAAAATGTCTTTTTCCTGGTGATGTTAACTTTGATCACTTAG